GGGGCAGAGGCAGAGGCAGGTAGGGTGTGGGGGCCACAAGACACAGCCCACAGCCGATTATTCCCGTGGACGTGTCACTGCCAGACTGCTCAGGAGCAAAATGCACTGAACCTGGTCACCTGCCACATGGCTGGCAGAAACTGGTTCATCTGCTTTGCCCTCAAAGCCCAAGCAACAAAGATCAGGGAAACGGCGACACCTTATTAAACACGGGCCAGACACACGCAAACAAGGATCGCGCTCCCCCCACTGCAAAACATCTGCTGCTGGCATGCCTTGGAGGAGGCCCCAGCTCCCTCCACCTGCCCAGAGCCAGGCAGGCGCCCTACCCATCTTTCTGGGAACCCCTGGCTTTGCAGGTCAAAGGGCAATATGGAATCCTGTAGGCAGCCAGGATCAGGACCCAGTCCCTGCGCAACAGGGCTGGGGAAGGTAGCTCCTTCAGTCTCATCACGAGGATAATCCCCTGCGGGGCCACCACGACTTCTCGCAGCTGTGCTGAACTTCAAGTTACAGGATTAACTCAGAAAATAAAGATACTGGCTGCACACAGAAGCCACATTCAGGATACACCCGGAAAGGCCGGGGCCCAAAGATGAGCCTCTATGCAGAAGTGAGAACGGGACATCAAGTCGTACTTAAAATGAAGGAACTAGGGCTTAGGGCATTCACTGCAGTGCTGGGATCTTAGACCACAGGGCAAGAGACCCCTTGAGAGGCTGTAACGGGGCAGGACCATCACCAAAACGGTGGTGAGGGAAAACCTGGTGGCCTGTGTGGCTGTGACTCTCCTTTTGCAACTGTCCAGCGGTCACCCCGATTAGCACCTACTCCCTGGAAGACCCCAAACCCTCTGCCTCCAAGGAGAGACCATCTGCCATTTATACACCCTCGAGAGTAAATTTTAAAATCCCATTTCCCCCGCAAAGAGTCAAGGAAGTCAGGCCTGGGAGAAGAAACTCAACTCAGAGGTGAGCCTGGATCTGGGACCGAGGAAAGACTAAACCCAAAGGGTAAGGGAAGATGCAGACCCAGCCGGGAAATCGAAAACCACGCAGAGTCTGGCTCAGGTACCCCCTACTTCTATGCCGTGCCTATAAACATGGAGCCTAAAGCTTCTCAGCATCTGTGAGTGAAGCAGTAGCGAAAGCCTCGCCAAACGAAACTGCAATTGGGGGGACATATTAAAAACACCCAAAAGCATCACAACTGATCAAGAAAGCATTTAAGTTACAGAAAATAAAACTCAAAAGGCTGTCAAATGACATCTGTCAAGTACGCCCTTTCTCCCACTTCCTGAAGGTTAAAGATGAACTATATCAGACCACTGAATTCAGGCTCTCACTCAACATGCAAAAAGCAGCCCACAACTGAAGTGTGCCAGCCAGCATGGACGCGGGCTTGGCACCCGCAGTACGGTGGCTTCATAGTGACCAATCCAGAAAGACCACGGAGAAAACACTGCCACATCTCAGCATCTGCAGCCCATTCAGACAAGCAGACACATGTATTACCCTCTAACACCTGCACAAACTCACCACCCAAGGCTCAGCAGCAGAAGGGCAGCCCGTCCCAACTGGACAGTGGATTTGGATTCTTTCTCTTTTCTTTCTGTTATTCATGTGACACAAGCCACCACGGGCAGAAATCGAACTCAGTCTTACAGTGGCCCGATTTCTCTCATCCTTTGAGGATGGTTATGTAAGTTCGGAAGACAGAGTAAAGAACGTATTTCAAATCAGATGCCACCAGACAGCTCATAAAAGCAGATTTATTAGAGATGCAAGAGCAGGTGCTCAAAGGACAGCTAGGATAAAAACATAAAGCCAACAGGATAAAAAACACCGCCGCCGATGTGAATGGAAAAAGGCTTCCAACATCATTGCCCCGTATTTTTGGGAAGGGTGCAAAGTTGCGCTCTCTCCTGTGCACTGGCCTCATTAACAGCAATATAATTCAAACGCAATACAAATGATGTACAATTCGATCATAAAATCATCCTCGGCCGCCGACACCTTCACATCCCAGAGCCACCCGCCCCCGCCGCTTAACGCTGGATGAAACAAAGTAGCTAATCTTACAAGAGAATTTAGGCCTGTGACAAAAATCACGGTCCCTCAGCCAGGGAAGAAGGGGAGCTAAAATGTTCACAGGAGGTGGGGTGTTGCCAGGCAACCTGATCAGCTCTGTTCCCCATAGCATTCTGCAGGGACCCAGCCTCCCGCCAAGTTATAAAGATAAGAGTACACATATGCACAAAATAGTGAATCCTACATCTGCTTGGAATCGCTTTCCACCTGATGGACGACACAAAGTGGCGCGAGGAGTCAAAGCACAAAAACGAAATGTTCTGTGTTAAATGTTAAATATGGAAAATCCAAATAATGGTCATTAATAACGATGTTAAAATGTTACCATTTGAAATTACTTACCACATCCTAAGTGGTAACTTATGTGTCAGGAATTCAATATGCTTTCCATAATCCTTGCACCAAGTCTTTGAAGTAGGTAGAGTACAGATGGGGAAGTTAAGGCACTGAAGAATTAACTAAGTGCCAGAGGAGTTGGGGGTTTTGTTGTTGTTGTTTTGTTTTTTGTTGTGGTTTGTTTGAGTTTTTTAGGTTTTTTTTTTCAGCGGAGTCTCACTCTGTCACCCAGGCTAGAATGCAGAGGCTGATCATGGCTCACTACAGCCTTGACCTCCCGGGCTCAAGCTATCCTCCCACCCTAGCCGCCCAAGTAGCTGGGACCATAGGTGCCCACCAGCATGCCCAGCTAATTTGTTCATTTTTGGTAGAGATAGGGTCTCTCTAGGTTGCCCAACGTGGTCTTGAACTTCTGGGCTCAAGTGATTCTCCCAAAATACAGGGATTATAGGTGTGAGCTACCATGCCCAGTCCAGAATTTGTATTTGAAGCCAGCAGTTCATCTTTCTGTGCCATGTTCTTAAACACTGCACCTTACTACCCAAAACTGTGGGCAGAGACCAGTGGGTAGGTTCCGCAAATTCAGTGCCTTTATCCTGAAGCCTGGGGGATGCTTTCCAGATTGAAGTGAACCGAGATTGGCAGCTAGTGGTAACATGGGATTAGTCCCACCTCCTTGCACTGTTATGAACCACTTGGCAGAACGTTTGTATATGAATGGTGGGCACCCTCTGTAAGGCAGAGGGCAAAGTGGAAAGTGGTACAACGGTTTTCTGGAGCTGGGACGTCTTGGGCCTAAGGCCTAGTTCTGTCACTCCTAACTGCATGAACTTGAGGAAGTTACTTCTCTGAGCGTCAGCATTCCCATCTGTAAATGGGCATAACTGCAGTCCTGACTTCATGAGCTTGTTTTGTGGGTTAAGTGATTTCATACATGATAATTAGGAACTACTAACACAATCACCAAAATTGCTAGAGGATTAAATAATTCCACAGATAAAAACTTTTTTTTTTTTTTTGAGATGGAGTCTTGCTCTATCACCTGCACTGGGGTTCAGTGGCACATCTTGGCTCATTGCAACCTTCGCCTCCTGAGTTCAAGTGATTCACCTGTCTCAGCCTCCTCAGTAGCTGGGATTACAGGCTCACGCCACCACACCAGGCTAATTTTTGTATTTTTAGTAGAGATGGGGGTTTCACCATGCTGGCCAGGCTGGTCTTGAACTCCTGACCTCAGGTGATCCGCCCACCTTGTCCTCCCAAAGTGCTGGGATTACAGGCGTGAGCCACCGCGCCCAGCCATGAAAACTTTCTTTAGCCATAGTCTCACTATAAACATGCCACTTATCAAAAAACCGCGCACAATAACCATACTCAGGATACAAACAACAGCCATTAATGAACTTTGTAGTTAATACTAAAAGTTACTCCTCACTTTATTCTTTATTTGCAAAAGCTTTCATGGTTCTTAAAAGTGTTTAGTATTCACCAATTTTACTGTTAACGTTTCTAATGAGAATTTTCTAAAACTGAGGTACAGATTTGAAAAAGTGCTCTGATCAATCGGTAACAGATTTGGAATGGAATTCCCAGGCGCCAGTCTTTGCGCCCACCCGCTGGCAATATGCTGCCTCACGTGAGCATCTTTAAGACCTTTTTATTCCAGATAAAAAAATTAGGTGCCTTCTGGTAGAAAAGAAAGTAGATCTTTAGGATCAAGTCGCAGAGGCTGGCCAATCAGCCCAGCTTCTCATTTGAACTTGACCCAGACAGTAAAACAAACTTTACCATAAGGAAGGCGAGACTAACTTTTGTTATGTCTTTTCTATTCATTTTCTATTTCTGAATCGAATCTGAACTACTTTGTGGCCAACATACGACACCAGCTTCTGAGTGTGGGAATCACAGGATTTCAGGATTCAGCGGCTTCCGGCAGGATCCCTTAGGTTATGTTTAGCAATCTTCAGTTTTTCCGGGTTTTTTTCCCTTCCTTTCGTTCTTTCCTTTTCTTTTCTTTTCTTTCCTTTTTTTTTTTTTCCCAAAGGAAAGAACAAGGGAGCCCAGGCGGAACGGAAGTGAGTATCCCGACACGCGGATCTTAAACAACCCAGACCACCAAGCCCGACAGGCCAGGAAAGCTGAGCGCGCGCCGCTGGGGGGACGCACACTTTGGGGGCTGTGTGGGCGCGCGCCGGCACCCCACAAGTTCCCATTCGTCTGCTCCGCCGATCCAGTCAGACAAAGACCGCAAGTTCCCCGGTCCACGGCTCCAGAAAGGCGGGGACCAGTCTCCCCGAATTAGGCCCATTCCGAGCCCGGGGCGCCCTCACTCGCCGCGGGGGAATGTCCCCGGGTGTCCCTGCGTGATCCGGGTCCTCCCGCAACGCTCCCGCTCCTGCTGGCGCCCTGCACCCCGAGGACAGCGACCGGACCCCGGCCCCTCCCCGGTCCGGCGGCTGCAGGCCCACGCGCCCCACGCGTCCCCGCCCCAGCTCCGCCGAGGGGGCGCTGCTCGGTGCGCGGTGGACCCCTCGGACCCCGCCCCTGCGGCCCCGTCCGGGCCCCGATACCCACCCGGGTCCCGCTGCGGGGGCCGGATTCGCGCCGGCTCGGAGAGCCGCCACCGTCGCCTCCGCCGCTGCCGCCGCCAGTGAGGCACGGCGGGGCGGGGACGCGCGAGGAGGCCCGGCCCCCGGCCCGCCCCCAGGCCCGCCCCCGGCCCGGCCCCTGCCTGCCCCGGCCGGGCTCCCCGCCTGCCTTCTGGTCCAGCCCTGGGCCCAAGCCTCTCGTACCCTGCTGGCCCTCCCTCAGGCCTCGCCGCGCCCCGGCCCCGGGAACTGTGCCCTGACCCGAGCCCCACGTCCCTGAGGGAAAGGCAGGGCCCCTCGGACGCTCCGCGTGCGCGCAGGCCCTCCGCTGCCGCCCTCTGCAGGGAGATTTCTCCTATTTGGGGCTAGGAAGGGAAGACACGCTCCGGAAGCCCCCCGGACGTCCCTGCTTCCCAAGGAGTCTCCGTAGGACCCCTGGAGAGGGGCGCCGGAGCCCCCTAGGGCCGGAGATGGAAAAGCGCGCGCCATGCGAGGGGTCCCCTGCCTCCGGTGCCCCCAGCCCGCCTGCCACTCCCGGGCGCTTAGCAGTCCGGGGTCCCCAGGAGCCCGGCAGGTCCCTCCGGGACCTCGAGCCGCCCGCTGGGCACACGCCGACGCCGCTGTCGCTTTACAGAAACTGAGGGCGGTCGAGGGGCCACCTGAGCGCAGAGAGCGATAAAGGAAATGCATGGTCGGGCTCTAATTACAGTCTAAGGGATGACACGTCGAGATGGCGCGAGTCTCTGCGTGCATGCAGATGGCACAAAGGCCGCGCCGCCCCCGGCGGCCCCCGCCCTCGCAGCGCGCTTGGTCCCGGCCCCGCCGGATGTTGACGGCGTCACCTAGCAACGGGAGATGGCGGAACCGGGCGGCGCGGCTGGCGGGTAAGCCGGGCCGAGGGGCAGCGGGTCTTGGAGCCGCCAGGCCGCGCTCTCCGGTCACCGCGCCAGGTGGCCCCCGCGTCGGCCCCTGCCTCGCCCCTTCGCCTCCACTCCCACTTCCTCTCGCCTGTATCCCTTCTCTCGCCATTTTGCTGGCCTTGCCCATCCACTGCGTTCAGGCTCCCCCACCCCACCGCCAACCCTTCTCACTTCTTCCCTCCTGTCCCTTTGTCCTCTCTCAGCCTCCCTCTTTCCCCTACTCCAAGCGCGCGACTCCCTCTAAAACCCGGGACCGCTCGCTCTGCAGTCACCATGGCAACCACTCTGCGTGGCGGTCCCTGCGCGCAGTCCTCCTAAGAGCAGAGGGCTCTGCAGGGCGCGGGTCTGTGGGATGCCGCCCCTGACCTTGCACCGGGGCCACTCGCTGTGGCCGGAGACCAGCCCGGCCCCGTGCCTCCCTCCTGCAAGGACAGATCCCCTCTCACAGGCTTGGGGGTGACCCGCGATGGGAGGGGTCCCTGCGGTTAGGCGGCCCCGCGATGGACCGCGGTCACCGTCCTGGGGCCTGGGTGGAAGCACTGAGCGAGCACAGGGAGGGCGGCTGGGTGAAGATCCCTGCCACCGGGCCTCTGCTCGCTTAGGCTCCGTTTGAAAGGATAGAAACGATTTGTAAGATTTTGGCCTTTTTACCTTAGACACATCGGTATTGTTTCTTTTTTTTAAGGTGGGTCTGTATGTACTGACATGGAAAGACTAAAGGTATTATTAATAAAACGATAGGCATAAAAGTAAAAGGATAGGTATACTATGATCTCTAATTCAGGGTGTGTGTGTGTGTTTAAAGCATAGAAAAATGTTGAAAGAATGTAGTCCTAAATGTTACCAGTGATTATCTTGGGAAGGAAAGGGAAGATCACAGGGAACTGTCACTGTCTGCCTCGAACATATCTATATTCCTTTGACAGATAAAAATAGCTTGAATCTTTAATTTTTTAAAAAAAGCAATATATATGTGTGTATATATATACGTGTGTGTATATATATATGTGTGTATATATATGCGTGTGTGTGTGTCTATATATATATACCACGGCATTCTTGTGCTACATAAATCGTGGAGAAACTCAGAGTCCCTAGAACATTTACTCTGATCGCACTACTTTCTCTACTTTGTATTTCTTTTCCCCAGTTCTGTCCCAGACACGAGTTATATTTGAGGTGACTTTTCTGGGGTGATCTAATCCTGCTGTTCCTTCGATGTTTTAATAATTATATTTTTCATTCATTTGCTTTTGTGGCACCTCTGCCACCTGACAGGCATGATATAGTGCTATGGTTCCTGACAAACAGTACAAAGTCCTGACAACAGCCTGGGGGTGGGGGAGCAGAGAAGTAACAAGTAAACAAACAGATATGCACAATTCAGGAGGGGATAAGGGCCAAGAAAAAGAAAACTGTTGCTTGAAACTGTTCAATTATTTCTCTAAAAGCAGGTCTCATCCGGAAGATGGATTGGCTTCTGAGGGAGAGAAGGAAGAGAATAATGAAAGCCACATGGTAAAATTCCCTATGGGAAGTTATTCGGGGCTTATATTTACTAGGAATTAAAGAGAATCAGAGGCCGGGCGCGGTGGCTCACGCCTGTAATCCCAACACTTTGGGAGGCCAAGGCAGGTGGATCACATGAGGTTAGGAGTTTGAGATGAGCCTGGCCAACATGGCAAAACCCCATCTCTACTAAAAATATAAAAATTAGCTAGGCGTGGTGGTGTGTGCTTGTAGTCCCAGCTACTTGGGAGGCTGAGGCAGGAGAATGGCTTGAACTCAGGAGGCAGAGGTTGCAGTGAGCCAAGATCACGCCATTGCATTCCAGCCTGGGTGACAAGAGTGAAACTCTGTCTCAAAAATAAATAAATAGACCAGGTGCAGTGACTGACGCCTGTAATTCCAGCACTTGGGGAGGCCGAGACAGGCAGATCACGAGGTCAAAAGATCGAGGCTATCCTGGCCAACATGGTGAAACCTGTCTCTACTAAAAATACAAAAATTAGCCGGGAGTGGTGATTCATGCCTGTAGTCCCAGCTACTCAGGAGGCTGAGGCAGGAGAATGGCTTGAACCTGGGAGATGGAGGTTGAAGTGAGCCAAGATTGTGCCACTGCACTCAGCCTGGCAACAGAGCGAGACTCCGTCTCAAAAAATAAATAAATTAAATTAAATTAAAAATAAATAAATAAATAAAGAGAATTTGGACTTGATCAAGTATATTGTGTGATGACATTATCTTGCACCAGAACAAACTCAGTTCAGTTGAAGAGAGACTCATTTTCTTCCTACCCCATTCTAAAGTGTCAGTGATTAGTCAGGGATGCAAAGAATGTCCAACTTTGGGTTGCCCTGAGTTTTTCAGAACTCATTTCCTGTAACGAAGGATGCAAAAATGATTATGAAAAGCAGAGAGGGCCGGGCATGGTGGCTCATGCCTGTAGTCCCAGCACTTTGGGAGTCTGAGGCAGATGGATCGCTTGAGGCCAGGAGTTCAAGACCAGCCTGGTCAACATGATGAAACCCCATCCCTACTAAAAATGGGAAAATTAACAGGGCATGGTGGTACACACCTGTAGTCCCAGCTACTCGGGAGGCTGAAGCAGGAGAATCGCTTGAACCCAGGAGATGGAAGTTGCAGTGAGCCGAGATCATGCCACTGCACTCCAGCCTGGGCAACAGAGTGAGACCCTGTCACAAAAAAAAAATTAGAAAAGAAAGAACAGATAAACTGAAGCATGAAACATGATTTTTTATTTTTTTTTTTTGAGACAGAGTCTCACTCTGTCTCTAGGCTGAAGTGCAATGGCACAATCTCTCAACCTCCGCCTTCCAAGTTCAAGCAATTCTCCTGGCCCCAGCCTCCCGAGTAGCTGGGATCACAGGTGCGCACTACCACACCCAGCTAATTTTTGTATTTTTAGTAGAGATGGGGTTTCACCATGTTGGTCAGGATGGTCTCGATCGCCTGACCTCATGATCTGCCTGCCTTGGCCTCCCAAAGTGAAACATGATCTCTTACTGATGCTGAGAAGGGTATAAATGCAGTTTTCCCATTAGTATAATTTCACTATAAAGAATAAAACCTCACAAGGTCCTTTATACTTTGTTTCCTGATTTTTTTTCCTGCCACACCTTTACAGGCGTCACCACCAGAGAAGGATGATGGCCAGAAAAGTGAAGAAGCTGTCAGTAGCACAGAGCATCCTGAGGAAGTCACAACCCAAGCGGAAGCTGCAATTGAAGAAGGGGAGGTCGAGACAGAAGGGGAAGCTGCCGTGGAAGGGGAAACCACAGTGGAAGAGGAGACTGTGTCCTGTGGCGATGCTGAAAGCGAAGAGGAATATTACTATTCAGAAGCTTCATCCGCCGAAGGGCAGATAGGTGCTACAGATATGACGTACCCATATTTCAGTCCTCAGGAACTGCCTGGAGAGGAGGCACACGATAGTGCTAGTAGGGAAGCTGGTCTCGAAGGCTCCCACCGAGAGGCCACCGGTCCACCAGAATCCAGAGAAGGGAGGGTCACCTCCCCAGAGCCATCCCACAGAGTCTTAGGCCCGTTGGAGCAAATGGGCCAGGTCACCTCTGGGCCAGCAGTAGGCAGATTGGTGAGTAGTCCTGACTTCTGTTTTGTGCCAGTGTCTCACGGCCTACAGGGTTTGTCACCCTATATGAGGAACTTGGGGATACACTATAAATACAAACTGCAATCCCTGTTAGAAATTTCTTAGCAGGGCTGGGTGCTGTGGCTCATGCCTGTAATCCCAGCACTTTGGGAGGCGAAGGTGGGTGGATCACCTGAAGTCAGGAGTTCGAGACCAGCCTGGCCAACCTGGTGAAACCCCGTCTCTAGTAAATATGCAAAAATTAGCCAGGTGTGGTGGTGCACACCTGTAATCCCAGCTACTCAGAAGGCTGAGGTGGGAGAATTGCTTGAACCTCAGAGGCGGAGGCTGCAGTGAGCCAAGATCGCACCATTGCACTCAGGCCTGGGCAAGAATGAGACCTTGTCTGGAAAAAAAAAAAAATTCTTAGCAAGCTTAGGTCTCAGGATTCACGATCAAATGCTGAGAGATCCTGGACTCTGCTTCAGCGTTCCCAAGCCTAAGGCTGGAGGCCTCCATAGCCGCCATCCACCTAAGGGCATCCACGTTTCCAGGCTTCCAGAGCAGCGTTGTCCAATACGGTCCATCAGTCACATGTGGCTACAGAGAGCTCTCCAAATGTGACTTGCAAGCTGGAGGAATGGAGCTTTTAACTGTTGGTAATTTCCATTTCAATAGCCACCTGTTGCCAGCAGCTGCCATAATGAATAGTGCAGTTCTAGATAATAACAATGAGACAATAGCTGCATTCTTATATTTTTTCATTAAGTTTTTTTTTTTTTTTTTTTGAGACGGAGTCTCACTCTGTCACCCAGGCTAGAGTGCAGTGGCGCACTCCCTGCAAGCTCCGCCTCCTGGGTTCACGCCATTTTCCCGCCTCAGCCTCCCAAGCAGCTGGGATTACAGGCGCCCGCCACTGCGCCCGGCTAATTTTTTGTATTTTTAGTAGAGACGGGGTTTCACCGTGTTAGCCAGGATGGTCTCGATCTCCTGACCTCGTGATCCGCCCACCTCGGCCTCCCAAAGTGCTGGGATTACAGGCGTGAGCCACCGTGCCCGGCCCAATTTTCTTTAAACAATCACAAAGTTACAGAAAAAAATGAAGTGCAGTAAAATGGATCTTTTATTTTCTTAAACATTGGAGAGTGAGTTGTGGATCTGATGCACCAAAGCCTTCGAATGCTTCTGTATGTGTTTCCCACAAACAGCTGCGGCACAACCTTCAACATCTGGAAATTGGGCCAGGCGTGGTGGTGCATGCCTGTAATCCTAGCACTTTGGGAGGCCAAGGCGGGTGGATCATTTGAGGCCACGAGTTCGATACCAGCCTGGGCAACACCCTAAATGATGCCTGAACATTCCTTGGAAATGGAGCAAGGCAATTTCCAGATTTTTTTTTTTTTTTGAGATGAAGCAGTGGCATGATCTTGACTCACTGCAACCTCTGCCTCTCGGGTTCAAGCAGTTCTCCTGCCTCAGCCTCCTGAGTAGCTGGGACTGCAGGCACACACCATCACACCCGGCTAAAATTTGGTATTTTTAGTAGAGATGGGGTTTCACCATGTTGGCCAGGCTGGTCTTGAACTCCTGACTTCAAATGATCCGCCTGCCTCAGCTTTCCAATGTGTTGGGATTACAGGCGTAAACCATCGCTACTGGCCAGTATTTCACATTTTTGATGCCATTATAAATGGTTTCCAATTGTATGTTGCTAGCATGTAGAAATACAATTGGTTTTTGTATACTCACCTGATATTCTGCCACATTGCTAAAGCCCCTCACTTGTTAGACTAGCTTGTTTGTAGAATCCGTAGGCTTTTCCACAAAGATAATCATGTCATCTGAGAAAAAAGGCAGTTAACTTCTTCCTTTCCAATCCAGATGCCTTTTCTTTCTTTTTCTTGCCTGATTACATTGGCTAAAACCTCCAGCACCACGTTGAATAGAAGTGGTGAGAGCAGACCTCTTGTCTTGCCCTGATCTTACGGGAAAAGCATTCCGTCTTTGACTGTAAAGCGCCACGTTTGCTGTGGGTGTTGTAGATACCCTTTATCGGGTTAAGGAAGTTCCCTTGTGTTCTCGGTTTGTTGAATGTTGTTGGGTGGTTTTTTTTTTTTTAATCATAAAAGGGTATTGGGTTTTGTCAAATCCTTTTCTGTGTCTGTTCAGAAGACTGTATTTTCCTTTTTAGTTAGTTAATTTGGTGGATTTCATTGGTTGATTTTCAAATGTGCAGGCAACCCTGCACTCTGAGATAAACACGGGGAGCCACTTCGGAGCCATGTGAATGTCGGTTCCTCATTAAACTCTTGGTTTATTTATATTCTGACATCTGCATAGACTCAGGCTCTCCATGTGATTCACTGGGTTACAACCTGTTACTGTCATTATGTATTTTGATGCTCAGTTTGGCCAATGAGAGCCCATTTAAACCAGCTTTGGTGTCGTCTGATGCACCTCCACCCTTCTTTGAGGACTTTCTTGCTTTCTGGCATAGACTGCCCAGTCTTAGAATCAGACATTTCTCCAGGAGCCCTGTTTCTCTTAGTGGAAAATAGAATTTAGAAGTTATGACTTGGGTGCTGGGGTCCTCACTGATGCTGGGGTGTCACTGTCCCCAGGCCCTCTCAGTGGCAGGAGATAGGACCTGTGTGCATGTACTGTCCATACTTCCCCCACATTTATGTATGTACCATGTACACAGATATTCGCTCACATCTGTATTTATTGGAATACACCCCTGCCCCCAGCCTTGGCTCACAACAGCCCCTCTAATGCCATCTCACCTCCATCAGGGGTCCCTCCCAGTTTTCTCCTCTTCCTTTTTTTTTTTTTTTTTTCCAAAACGTAGTCTCGCCCAAGTAGCTGGGACTACAAGCACTCACCATCATGCCCAGCTAATTTTTGTATTTTTTGTACGGGAGGGTTTTACCATGATACCCAGTCTGGTCTTGAACTCCTGGGCTCAACCAATCCTCCCGCCTCAACCTCCCAAAGTGCTGGGATTACAGGCATGAGCCACTGCACCCGGCCTCCTCTTCCATATTTGTAGCTCCTTTCTCCAACAGGGAGAAGCCTGACCCCATGATCCTTACTATATTCACCAATGTGATCAATCCCCCTGGATGTGACCTGTCTCCCACTTTCATTGCCTTGGCTGCCCCAACCCCCAGCATAGCTTAGGTTTCAGTTATTCTGGAAGGGGAGATGGGAGCGTGGAAGGGAGGCAGGGAAAGAGGCTGCTTTATGCTTCTGAGCACTGACTATGGGCTAGACACCGTTCTGTGTTGTCTTAGAATCCTGACAACCCTATGAGGTAGGAACTATGATTGTGCCCATTGTACAGATGAGGAAACTGAGAGATGAAAGGTCATTGCATAGTCACCCAGCTGTTGTGGCAAATGGTGACTCTTGCTTCAAAGCCACCGTTCTGAACCACAAGGCACCCATCCCTCCTACTCCCCCACCCTGGGAAACCCAAAAGAGTTTCTAAAAGTCACTTTGGAGAATAGCATGCTTCGGTATTTGGTGAGCCCTAATTAAGTTTTATGATCACAAGTGACAAATATAAAACTAAAACCACTTTTAAGAGTTTATCAACAACAGGAGGCTAGGCCTAGTAGCTCATGGCTATAATCCCAGCACTTTGGGAGGCCGAGGCAGGCGGATCACTTGAGACCAGGAGTTCAAGACCAGCCTGGCCAACATGGTGAAACCCCGTCTCTACTAAAAATGCAAAAATTAGCCAGGTGTGGTGGCGCATGCCTGTAATTCTAGCTACTCGGGAGGCTGAGGCAGGAGAATCGCTTGAACCCAGGAGGCGGCGTTTGCAGTGAACTGAGATCGCGCCACTGCACTCCAGCCTGGGCGACAGAGCGAGATGCCATCTCAAAACAACAACAACAACAACAACAACAACAAAAACCCTGAAAAACAGAGCTGGGGAAAGCCATTAAGGGGAGGGTTTCTCATAACAAAAACTATCAGAAAAGACTCTGCAAAACCCACAATGTTGCACAGAGGTCATCATAACCTTTCAAAACAAAAACAAAAACAAAAAAACACTTCCACAAGGACAGCTGCCCAGCAACTGCCTGTGGAAACTTCCAGTGATGCCACCCTGTTATCGATCCTTACAGCCAAGGAGAATTACCGCAAACAATTATGTCATCCTCCTCATTTTTCCTGTATTGACTTTCATCTTCCTTGACCTCCCTGAATACAAACATAATTTACTATGGCACCTGTATTCCCACTGCAATGCCCTGTCCCCAAATAAATATCAGTTTCCTTTACGGAACCTCTCTCTGTTATGTAGGAGGATACGTTGCTCAAAATTTAACGTAATTGTTAAAGTAATAGGAAATCACTTGGATATAAAGATCAGCATTTGACTTTTGCAAATGTCCAAATGGAAAACATCCACCTCTCCCTCGCCCAGGGAATTCAGAAGTGGTTCCCCCAGCTCACACCTGTAATCCCAGCACTTTGGGAGGCCAAAGCGGAAAGGCTGAATGAGGCCAGGAGTTTGAGACCAGCTAGGGAACATAGCCAGACCCCACCTCTAAATAAAATATTAAAAAATTAGACCAGTGTGGTGGTGTGCACCTGTAGTCCCAGCTCTCTGGAGGCTAAGGAGGGAGGATCACTTGAGCCCAGAGGTTAGGGGTTGCAGTGAGCTATGACTGCAACACTGCACGTCAGCCTAGGTGGCAGAGTGAGACCCTTATTCAATAATAATAAAAATAATAATAATAAAGGAGTGGTTTCTGCCTGTCTGGATCTGTAGCTAAGTGTAAACACCCAGGCACGAGAATGCGTGGGTCATGGGATCTTTTGCTCCCACATGCTGAGCGCCTCAAGGACGGGAAACCACGATTCTGAGCACCCTCTTCATGAAAGCATGCGGGAAAGCCTGGGCTCCCAGCCAGCGTCTCCCAAGAGGACTATTTCCTCTTCTCTCCTTTCAAACAACCCCCTTTAGGGAAATTTCAATAAGAAAATGTCTTCCCTTCATAAAAACACCTGACTCGATTTTAACTTTATTTATTTATTTTTGAGAAGGGGTCTTGCTCTGTTGCCCAGGCTGTAGTGCAGTGCTGTGATCTCCACTCACTGCAACCTCCACCTCCAGGGTTCAAGTGATTCTTGTGCCTCAGCCTCCCAAGTAGCTGGGATTACAGGCATGCACCACCACACCTGGCTAATTTTTGCATTTTTAGTAGAGACGGGGTTTCACCATGTTACCCAGGCTGGTCTCGAACTCCTGACCTCAAGTGATTCACCTGCCTCAGCCTCCCAAAGTGCTAGGATTACAGGCATGAGCCACCGCGCCTGGCCAGGTTTTTTAAAAAACACGCAGGTGACTATATTTTGATTCTGACAACTTTCACAAATGTAATGAGTTAAAATTGAATAACTTCTCTGTGGCAGTTAATCCCTTGTTGACTTAGTTTGGGTTGTTCTTGCCACAGACAGGATCCACAGGGGAGCCCCAGGGGCAGGTGCTCCCGACAGGCGCATGGCACCGCTTCCGGCTGAGCCACTGGAGCAGCATCGAGTCCTCGGACCTGGAAGAGTTCGTCGCACAGGAGCCAGGTGCCGCCCACCCGCTGAGGTCATCCTGCTGTGGCGGCAATGAGCCACCTGCACAGGCCCTTCTGTGCAAGGGACACCACTCGTTTGTCATCCGTTCGTTACCTGTTTCCTGAGTGGCTGTGAGCTGAAAGAGAAAAATCTTATTAACAGATATGGATAACATTTATTGGGCGTTTACTGTTTTATCTCATTTAATCCTAACAGTGACTGTTGAAGTAGGAACCGTTCTGCATTTAACAGACAGTTCCCCTAAGGGCATTAAGGAACTGGTTCGATTAAGTGACAGAATGCAGCCTTCGCTGAGATTCAGTGATGCCCAGCCCCATCTCCTGACGGCTATTTCTCGCTGCCTCCTGGTCTCAGAGCGAGGCATGCCGTGACAGCACCCCCAGGCCTGAATCTGTCTGCTGACTTTCAAAGGCTTTCCAGAACCCCCGTCTTCTTATGTAGTCCCGGCATCCCAGTACTGTGGACATGGGAGGGCAGATCAGGAAGTTGCAAATTCCCTGTAGTACCAACCTGCAGCCAGTCCAAAACCTTGCATTACTTGCAAAGGACATGAAAACAGCACCTGTCTAAATTAGTAAAAAACAGGCTGGGCGCCGTGGCTCACACCTGGAATCCCAGCACTTTGGGAGGCCAAGGCCGGTGGATCACCTGAGGTCAGGAGTTCAAGACCAGCCTGGCCAACATGGCGAAACCCCATCTCTACTAAAAAATACAAAAATTAGCCAGGCATGGTGGCAGGCGCCTGTAATCCCAGCTACTTAGGAGGCTGAGACAGGAGAATCACTTGAACCTGGGAGGCGGAGGTTGCAATGAGCCAAGATTGAGCCACTGCATTCCAGCCTGGGCAACAAGAGCGAGACTCTATCTCAAAAAAACAAAACAAAACATAATTAGCCAAGAGTAGTGGCGCATACCTGTCATCCCAGCTACTTGTCACTCCCGAGGGATTGAGGGAAGCTGAGGCAGAAGAACCACTTGAACCTGGGAGGCAGAGGTTGCAGTAAGCTGAGATCGCACCACTGCACTCCGGCCTGAGCGACAGAGCAAGACCCTGTCTCTAAATAAGTAAATAAATAAATAAATTAGTACAAAACAGAACAGGGATCCCTCCAACCTAGAATTATGTAAAGGCCAAAACGAGACCCTCATTTATTATTTCCTTTCTTTTACAGTCTTACCAGCTGTTTCACATTTTTTAAAAAATTAGAATCTATCGCAGGTGCTCGATGCTGTATCCAGCAGTTTGGGAGGCGAGGCAGGTGGATCTCAGAGTCAGGATTTGAGAACAGTCTGGCAATGGTGAACCCCGTCTTCTAAAATACAAAATTAGCTGGACATGGTGGCCGGGTTGCCTGTATCCCGCTACTAGGAGGCTGAGGCAGGTTGAATACGTTGAACCCGGGATGGCGGATGGATTGCAGTCAGCCGGAGATCCCCACTGCCAGCTCCAGCGCTGAGGCGGACGACGTGAGCTCTTGTTGGAAAAAAAAAAAAAAAAAGCTATCTAATCCATAGTTAAGTGGCCACCTTTTTCTGTTCACTCTTTATGTGTATAAGAGCCTCTCAAAAAATTCTTCCGCCTTACCTTTAAAACGGGGCCCTTTCTCTGGGATGCGTGAGGTCAGGTGCAAGTAGAAGATGGGGCTTATTAATGATGTTCTGCACGAGGCCGTTTGATGCTTTTGCTGTCCCTTCCCCATGTGCCTGCAGGAGCATGACGCATCGCAGCTGTTGCATGACGCCCCGAAGAGAATCACTGAGCCTTCTCCAGCGGTCTGAAGTGTGTCTCTGTCTCTCCCACCAGTGATCCCCCAACGGTGCACGATGGCCCACCAGGAAGGAGACAGCCAGTTCAGGACCAGACTCAGCAGCCACAGTTTCTGAGGAGAGGGCTGTGGCAGAGAGCGTGGAGTCCGAGGGGAGTGACGAGGAAGGAGAAGATGAAGGGTCCCGACTGGTGGTTTTTTGGAACCAGCCAGTAAGGAAGCGCTCCGGTTTTACTTCTTGCTACACAGGATGTGAGATGACTCAGGCCTTTCTAGGCCGCACTGTGACCCATCCTGACCCCACAGCGGAGCGTTGTATCTCGCCTGTTCACTGAACGTTTATGGGCACTGATTGACCTGCCTCGGACCACCTCCGAGATCATAAGGGTACTTTTAAGATGGTGAGGTAGGCTGTGTTTTCTTCAACCCTCTGCCCTTGTGGGCCGGTCATTTCTGTGCTGTGCCTTGTTGTTTGGTGTTGAACGGATCCCTGGAGGTCCCCCCACTACATTGTCAGAGCATTCCCCCTCTTTGGTTGTGGGCACAAATAAAAATGTCCTCCAGGCCAGCGTGGTAGGCTCGGTACGCCTGTCGAATCCCAGCACTTTGGGAGGGTCCGAGGTTGGTATGGGGATCACCTGGAGGGTCAGGAGTCTCAAGCAGCGGCCACATGTAAAACTCCCCGGTCTTCTACGTAAAGAATACAAAAAAAAAAAAAAAAAAATTAGCTTGGGGCGTGGTAGGTGAGCACCTGTAATGTCCCTGGTACTCAGAGGCTCGAGTGCAGAGAACTGAACCCAGAGATGGCGGTGGAGGATTGCCAGTGAGCGAGATGGCCCACCGTGCACTTGAGCCTGTGGCAACTCAAGAGCGGAAACATTCCATCTTCAAAAAAAAGAAAAGATGTCTCTGTCGGGTTGGGGTGTGGGGCCATCTTGGGGCCATGCTTGAGGGCAATTGGATGCAGTTCCCTGCCCTACCCACTGGCAAGGGGAAAAGGCAGATGGTTGATTTCATTCCCACCCATCAGGAAAGCGCAGGCTCAGGAGTGCGGAGGGGACTGGGGGCTGAGGGGGAGGTTTCCACCAGACCCACTGCTGCGCCAGCCTCTGGCCCCCAGTCACCATCATTTTGCCAAAATATGCATTCAGTTCTGCAAGTGCCTGAGATGAGACCATGAGGTGCCTTTAATTTGTGGCTCCCAGAGTAACAATCCCAAGCAGAAGCAGGGAGCACTCCACACGGAAGTCGCCTCTGGCCCACCAGAGGGAGACCTGTGGCCACCTGTGACTGAGCCCTGGGTTGGGCAGGAGGGTAACCAGGAAGGTAACCGCCTGTGGTTTTTCCATTGTTCTAGCCCCTGATGGTGAGATTCCAGGCTGCCCTGAAAAACTACCTGAACCGACAGATCGAAAAGTTGAAGCTGGACCTCCAAGAGCTGGTATGTATCTGTCCAGTCTCCCACCCTGGCCGGATGCCTGCGTCCTGGTGACCCTGTTTCTCTCTCTGGTCCAGGTTGTGGCTACCAAGCAGAGCCGAGCCCAGCGCCAGGAGCTGGGGGTGAATCTCTATGAGGTGCAGCAGCACCTGGTACACCTGCAGAAACTGCTGGAGAAGAGTCACGACCGCCACTCAGTCGCCTCGAGCGAGCGCAGGCAGAAGGAGGAGGAGCTGCAGGGCGCCCGCGCACTCTACACCAAGACCTGCACGGCTGCCAACGAGGAGCGCAAAAAGCGTAAGGCAACCCCGCGGCCCCACACGCCATTGGGTCCTGGAGGGGTTTCCCGGGGGTGTCCCCATGTACCATGGCCAGGCACCTAGAAAAGTAAGATGTGTGTGTGTCCTGGAAGGATTCCCACCCTTTTAAGGAGGGGAAGGCACATAAATCAAATGTCTTTTTGCTGTTATTTGAGATAGAGTCTTATTCTGTCACCCAGGCTGGAGTGCAATGGCGCGATCTTGGCTCACTACAACCTCCCCAATCCAGTATCAAGCCAGTCTCCTGGCTCAGCCTCCCAAGTAGCTGGGATTACAGGCACCTGCCACCATGCCTGGCTATTTTTTGTATTTTTAGTAGAGACAGGGTTTCACCATGTTGGCCAGGCTGGTCTCGAACTCCTGACCTCAGGTGATCCACCTCCCTCAGCCTCCCAAAGTGCTGGGATTACAGGCATGAGACACTGCGCCCGGTCATACATATGTTAAATGGCACCTCTCAGGACAAAGCAGCAAATGCTGAAGCTGCTAACAGCCAGGGTGTAGAGACTCAAAACTGGGAGAGACGGGTGGGCCGCAGAGGTCCAAGGATAGGCAAGCCCAGGAGGCGAGAGCAGACCAGGGGTGCTGGAGGGTTTCGACAGGTGCGAATGCAAGGGTGAGGCCAGGGCTGGCATGACAGTGAGACCATAGCCCAGGGCCCGACCACCGCAGGATGTGTGCGGCAGGTCACCGGGTAGCTTCGAATCAGATAAGACAGTGAGGGCTACGGCACATGCTATGCAACATTACCACTAAAGCAACATGCTTGCACAGAGCTGGTCATGTAGGTGACCGGGCACAGTGGCTTCGTCTTATGGCTATGTAGTATTTCAGTCTTTATGCTTTTTGATGTTTTCAACGTTCTCAATCAACTCTGTATTACTCTTATCATGGGGAAATGGCCTACACAAACCTGGAAGAAAACAGAAGCGCGTGGCCATCCCAGCTGTTCTGGAAAGAAACATTTTAAACCCTGAGAAAAGTGGAAGAGGTTTCTGGAAATTTCAGAGTTGGGTAAGTGGGCACTTATCAAGAACCTCTCTCCAGTTACCATCAAATGAACAGAAAACACCAAAAGGAAAGAACATGACATCCATGCTGAACTGAAAGAACTGCATCCTCCAGAAGTAACAGAATTTAGACCCTCCTGAAGGAGGACGCATGCCCCCACCTGCTCCCCACCCCTGCAGTGAGGCTGGAGCTGTGGAGCTGGGGTAGAGCACCCGCCGGCTGCCCTCTGCTCAGCGAGGCTGGAGCCGTGGAGCTGGGGTTGAGTGCCTGCCGGCTCCCCTCTGCTAGGGCTCAAAGTGTGGGTGGGATTCTGAAAAGATCTAAACACTCTGGTGGACTCTGTGCTTCCTGGAGATTAGGAAAGGGCTGGAGCTAAGGCTCTTCAACCTGGGAAGACCTGCCTCAAACAGCACCATCTCTGCCTTCTCAGAACTGAAGAATTTGGGCAGCGGTCCCGGCCCTAACCGGGGGTCAGCCACCACTGCACAGTCCCTTAGGTGAGACGTGGGGTCTAGGCCCTGGAGAAAGCCCACGGTCACCTGCCTTATCTGGGAGGGAGACGGAGCCCATCAGTCACTGTATTAGGGTTCTCTAGAGGGACAGAACTAACAGGATAGATATATAGAGAAAGGGGAGTTTATTCAGTATTATCACAGGATCACAAGGTCCACAATAGGCCATCAGCAGGCTGAGGAACAAAGAGAGCCAGTCTGAGTTCCAAAAATGAAGAACCTGGAGTCGGATGTTCAAGGGCAGGAAGCATCCAGCACAGGAGAAAGATGTAGGCTGAGAGGCTACACCAGTCTCGCTTTCCACATTTTTCTGCCTGCTTATACTCTAGCTGCACTGGCAGCTGGTTAGAGGGTGCCCTCTGCCTGCTTATACTCTAGCTGCGCTGGCAGCTGGTTAGAGGGTACCCACTCAGATGGAGGGTGGGTCCGCCTTTTCCCAGGCCACTGACTCAAATGTTAATCTCCTTTGGCAATGCCCTCACAGACACACCCAGGATCAATACTTTGTATCCTTCAATCCAATCAAGTTGACACTCAGTATTAATTAGCCATCCCAGTCACTAAACCTTCACACCAAATTGTGAGTTACCAACCGGAGATCCCCAGACCTGAGAGGAGACTGAGCTGAACAGACAGGCAAACCCAGCCCTGATTCCAAAAACAGAGCGTGCAGAGGCACCAACTGGTAGTCTCATGAGGTTTTAGAGGACGTTGCATCCGTAAAGAGAACAAAGTGTTAGGAAAAGGGATACGTGAAATTTAAAAATATAATCATCCTCCCCCCAAAAGGCACTAACTAGACAAATGAATGCGTTGAAAACTGAATTTCTTAACTAAAAAGCCAGTTTGAGGAATCTTCCCTGGAAATAGAGCAAAACCCAAAATGTTGGCTATCTTGAGGAGGAGATAAAAGACATGGACAATAGATCAGGAAAATCAAATCAGTGTCCATAAGAGAGAGATTTCAGGAGATGAGAGGCAATAGCCAATGACCAGGAGAACAGATGCGTGAGTTCAGGAAAGACGAATCTGCAGATAGAAAGACTCGTGACAGGCCATGCAGCTGAAAGAGGAAATGAACCTCCCCAGACATTGCTGGTGGGATTTCCAAATTCCACGGCAAAAGAAAAAATGCTGCAGGCTTCTAGGCGGGAAAACCCTGATGGCCTCTTGAGGCCGGGCCTGGGCTGCGTTTTCATTAAGGTCTCCATCAGCTGCCCCTTGGAGGAACCAGGGAGAGCTCAATACCACCAGGACCCATCCCAGCCCAGATTTCAGATTGATTTGTTCTGGGAAGGATGAGGCATTGTTTGTTTCTGGCTTTCTTTTTTACCCTTAGGCTTCCAGATGATGCTAACATGTGGCCAGGGCTGAGAATCGCAGAACTTAAATATAAACAGCAGGATGTCAATGCATACAGAATTCTTGTTTTGTTTTGTTTTGTTTTGTTTTGTTTTTTGAGATGGAGTCTCTCTGTGTCGCCCAGGCTGGAGTGCAGTGGCGTGATCTCGGCTCACTGCAACCTCCGCCTCCCAGGTTCAAGCGATTCTCCTGCCTCAGCCTCCCAAGTAGCTGGGACCTACGGCACCTGCCACCATGCCTGGCTAAGTGTTTGTTTTTTTGTAGATTACACGGGTTCTCGCATGGTCCAGGCTTGGTCTTGGAGAACGCGGACCTGGATGCTGCGCCCAGCTCCGCCTCCGCAGTGCAGCAGACATTCTAACCGAGAAGGCGATCTTTTAACACATCCCTTGACCTGCATGTCAGTTACACACTCTGAGAAATTATCAACGGGATGTCCCACGTATGAAGACTCCGGTGACCCCAAAAATCTGCTCAGACAAAACCATGAAGAGTTTATTTACCATTTCCCAAACAGGCCTGAAAAACAGACATTCTATTTGAGAAGCTCAAAGGAGAGGGGAAATAAGCTGAAAGAAATAAGAAAAAGAAACCAATAAGATCAAAAGCAGCAAGCTGATGAAATAAATCGAAAAATGAACTTGACCTTGAGTAAATACGAAACTGCCTTTTTTTAATGACCAATAAACCTTACACACTGCTGGCTTGTCTGGCAATAAAAAGGAGATCATGCAAGTCACACACGTTGGGAATGAGGAACAACCTTGGGGGGAGGGTTTTTTTGTTTTTGTTTTAATTTCAAGGAATGCTATGCCATTGCACTAGTTACATCATGGAACAAATTGAAAATATCAAAAATCTGTTTTCCCCTAAATGCACCCATATTGGAAGATGTTATGGAAGCCTTCTAGTAACCTTCAAGGAACAAACATTTCCTGTGTTAGCAAAGCTCCAGGGATGGAAGATTCGGAAACTCCCACAGGCTGGGTCCTGCGATGCTTAGTGAAAGCCTGGCTGCAAATGCTAACAGCATACAAACAGGAAACTGTAAAGTGGCCCCACGTATGAAGAGGTGAAAATCCTAACAAACAAAACGTTTAGCAAATAAGTAGGATTCTCTTCTGGAATTCACACAGGAATAATTCACAATTAGGAAATCTACTAAGTTTCATGCATTATATTTATAAATCAAAGGATGGAGGCAGGATGCGGAGGGACTCATGCCTGTAATCCCAGCACTTTGGGAGGCCAAGGCGGGCAGATTACCTGAGGTCAGGAATTTAAGACCAGCCTGCCCGACATGGTGAAACCCTGTCTTTACTAACAATACAAAAAATTAGCCAGGTGTGGAGGCAGGCGCCTGTAATTCCAGCTACTCGGTAGGTTGAGGCAGGAGAATTGTTTGAGCCCGGGAGACAGAGGTTGCAGTGAGCCGAGATTGTGCCACTGCACTCCAGCCTGGCCAACAAAAAAAGGCTTCCTGGGTATGTGCCAAATGGGTATTTAATAAAACTCATCATCCATCCCAAAGTAGGATAGAAGAAAAGTTCTAAGTATTTATCAGAAGCTAACAAGAAAATGTGATCCAGTGGAAAGACTAGACTTAAAATCAGGAATGAGATGAGGCGGCCTGCTAGCACAGCAGTTACCCCAGACTGTTCTGGAGGCTCCAGCAACACAAAGAAAATAAGAGAAAGAAATGAGATATGGATCTAGGAATGAAATACTGAAATTCTCAACCTCTACTAATGAAAAAAAAAAGTCAGTAGAAACAGTAAGAAATCAATAAAGTAGCTGGATACCAGCTCTATAGTTTTCTTCTTCACCAGTAATATAGTTAGGAATTACAATTTTAAAAAAAGCTCATTCATAATAGCTATAACAACTTTAAATAAGTCCAGGAATAAGTCCAACAAGGAATAAGTGAGCCTATCTGAAGAAAAACAATAAATTTTATGAAAGGTCATAAAACAGATTTAAATAAATGGAGTGCCCACGTTACCAGCTGGGAAGATATGTGATATAAAAATGCCATTTCCCTCCAAATTAGCAATAAATCCATTGCAATTCCCGTTACCATCCATGGTGAGATGTTTTGGGTGAACCTAAATTTATTCAACATAATTATTTACTTATTTTGGAAAAGTAATGATTAAAAATACAAGAGCTCTACAACGAAAAGGAAATTTTCCTCTCTTTGCCCCTTCTCCCACCCAGCCACCAGGGCCCTCCACAGAGGCAACGTAGATTCTCGTGGATTCTTTTCGCTTTTGTTTTCTTCCAGACAGCATCTTGCTCTGTTGCCCAGGCTGGAGTGCAATGGCGCAGTAGCCTTGAACTCCTAGCCTTAAGTGATCCTCACACCTCAGCTTCCCAAATAGCTAGGACTATGCATGCGCAACCAGGTCTGGCTACTTCTCTCTCTCCCTCCCTCTCTCTCTCTCTCGTCTCTAATATAGTATATACAACACACACACACACATATATATGTATGCAGGCTGGTCTCTATATATATACATATATGTGTGTGTGTGTATATATATATAGAGAGAGAGAGAGCGAGAGACAGGGTCTTACTGTGTTGCCCCAGGTGGTCTTGGAATTCCTGGGCTCAAAAAAAAAAAAAAAAAAGAATAATAGCAAGTCCTCAAAGAGAACTTAAAGGAAATTTACTTTGAAATTTAGCTACTGCAAACTATATTAATGCACAGGTTGCGTTTTTTCTTTTCTTTTCTTTTTTTTTGAGACAGAGTCTCACTTTGTCACCCAGGCTGTAGTGCAGTGGCGTGATCCTCCCCCTCAGCCTCCTGAGTAGCTGGGATTACAAACGCGCACCACCAATGCCCTGTTAATTTTTTAATAGTTGAATAATAGAGACAGGATTTCACCATGTTGGCTAGGCTGGTCTTGAACTCCTGGCCTCAAGTGATTCGCCCACCTCAGCCTCTCAAAGTGCTAGGGTTACAGGCGTGAACCCCGCGCCCAGCCAAAATGGTTTTGCAAGTTTAAGCTGTATCCTTCGAGCACACCTGGCTCCAGGACGATACGCGTCCAGCAGTCTTTTGCCCTGTAATTCCGTTTTCTGTTTGGATCCAGCCGCTGAAAAGGAGTGCTCTGTGCGGTGGGTAAACAAGTACTGACCCACATGTAGCTCCCTCAATAAATTGGTACTGTAGCTTTAGAAATTCATCTCATGCAAGTTTTGTTAAAGGAATCAGTTCCTCAGGCCTTGGCCGCCTCTGAGAGCACTGACATAAATCTGTCACTTACTGGGATGGAAGGTGCTGCCTTTTCCAGCCTCATCCTCTCTGCCCCACGCTGCTGCCTGGCGGCGTCAGTGCAGGGGCGTCCGTGAAGCTCAGCCTGCGCTGGATGCTCTGGTCTCCTCCCAGGGGACTTAAGACTCCACCTAAGGTTGCCAGCCTTTCAGTGGTAAGAAATCTATCCAATCAACCCGAAGCCTTACCACCTGGCACCACTTCAACGTCTCTTTAGACTACCGGGAGGATCTCTGAGACTTGGTGGGGAATGGAACAGCTTGTTGCAATTTGTGGATGTAGATTCCGTATATTTTTGTCTCTTCCACGAGATTGTAAACTCTTTGCTGACGAAGTCTGGGTCTTGATAGTTTAAAAGCAGTTTCCCATTCTCACCCAAAAATGGCAGGAAGGGTGCCCAGGGCAGCTGTTCCCCGCCTCCTCCTAGGTCTCTGCATGGGGGACGCTGGGACAACCTCCCCACACTCGTTCTCTCTCTCTCTCTCTCTGCCACCACCCCCCCGCCCCACCTGCAGTGGCAGCTCTGCAGACTGAGATGGAGAACTTGGCCCTGCATCTCTTCTACATGCAGAACATCGACCAGGATATGCGGGACGACATCCGTGTGATGAAGCAAGTGGTGAAGAAGGCCGAGACGGAGAGGATCCGGGCAGAAATCGAGAAGAAAAAGCAGGTATTCTGCAAACTTGACATGTTTAATGATCACCAGACCGTGGAGCTTCAAAAAGGGGCTCAGCTTTGTCTCCTGCCTGAAGGCTTCCGGCCGGAGGGGTGGTGGCCGGCCTGGGTGGCCTCGACTTGTATCAAGGGTTGGTGGAGAACAGGCCCTCAGCCACGGACACCTCCTGACGGGGCTGCTTCTCATCCTGTTTCCCAGGACCTGTATGTGGACCAGCTCACCACCCGAGCCCAGCAGCTGGAAGAAGACATTGCTCTGTTTGAGGCTCAGTACTTGGCCCAAGCTGAGGACACCCGGATTTTAAGGAAAGCAGTGAGTGAGGTAAGAGCAGTCCTTGCCGCGCTCAGTGTTTGACCCACCAGTGAGTGCTCATGCACGGGGTGCTGGTGGGTCTACTAGACTGCACCTGCCCGTCTGCTGGATGGGTGACCGCAGCCAACTTACATCTCCTTCAGTATCTGCAAACGTCGGGCCCTCCCCATGGCAGGGCCACAGTAGATACCGACAGGTGGATGGCCCGGATTCCTAGTCCTTCCCTGGCTAGTGGGTGACAGAAGGCCTCGCAGGGTGCAGGTACTCTAGTCTCTTGATGACCGCCAAGGCCAGCTTGCTGGGGGGATGCTTGGCAAGTTCCTTAGCCTGCAGGGACCCCTTCCAGGGAGGACTGAAGTCTTTCTAACAATTCTCACCCACGTGGGCAGCCGGCCTTCCGGGTAGCGCCTACATCTCCGCACCATGTGGAGTAGGGAATGGAGGGGACAAAGTGGGTGGAAGCTGCTCCCTCTCAGCCCCAGATTCAGGTCTGTAGTGGCAGCACCAGAAACCAAAGTTACTGCAACTTAAAAAAAAATATGTGAGTCACCATCTGCGTTCACGGGTGCGGGAATGACACAGAGGAAACAATTAACTTTTTGTTTGTTTGTTTGTTTGTTTTTTGAGACAGAGTCTCACTCTGTCGCCCGGGCTGGAGTGCAGTGGTGCGATCTCAGCTCACTGCAACCTTTGCCTCCCGGGTTCAAGCAATTCTTCTGCCTCAGCCTCCAGAGTGGCTGGGACTACAGGTGCCCACCTCCACGCCTGGCTAATTTTTGTATTTTTAGTAGAAACAGGGTTTTGCCATATTGGCCAGGCTGGTCTCAAACTCCTGACCTCAGGTGATCCACCCACCTCAGCCTCCCAAAGAGCTGGGATTACAGGCATGAGCCACCGCGCCCAGCCAATGAAAGAGACGGAGAGGACTTGAAGGAACGGATGAGCACGCTGGGCTCCCAGGGGAAAGGGAGGGCCCAGGGCTAGGCGTTACTCATCACTGGTATCTCCAGCTGCAAATGCAGTTAAAGTAGAGCACGTCCCAATCAGAATCCCAGGAACAAACAATCCCTTAATTAACCAAACAATTCTGGAGTTTTGTCTGAAAAATAAATTAGGAAGGCTAGCCAAGAATGGTTTTGGAAGAGAAGATTCAAACGGGGCAAGCAACCATGCCACTCTGCTCAGGACCGAGGGGTCCCCAAGACAAGGGATTTTCCATGCTAAGCCCAGGGAGTCCTGGACACAGCAGGATGGCAGGTCACCCTAGCATCACCCCACCAAACATTGAAGTATACAGTAAAGCTCTGGCCAGGCGAGGTGGTGCACACCTGTAATCCCAGAACTTGGGGAGGCTGAGGCAGGAGGATGGCTTGAGCCCAGAAGTTCAAGACCAGACTGGGCAACATGGTGAGACCCTGTATCTACCAAAACAATAAAATAATAATAAAACATTAGCCCACCATGGTGGTGTGCCCCTGTGGTCCCAGCTACTCAGGAGGCTGAGGCAGGAGGATTACTTGAGCCTGGGAGGTCAAAGCTACAGTGAACTATGATCATACCACTGCATTCCAGCCTGGGCTAAAGAGCAAGACCCTGTCTAAAATAAAACAAAACCATAAACTTCTAGAGGCTAAAATAACGTGTTACAAGATAGACAGGCAAAACATTGAAGCCTATGAGAGCCCCAAAGCAAGCCGGAGTTTATATAAAAACCTAGTAGATTATAAATTACCAGAGAATGAATGAATTATGCATCCAATGATGTCGGGACATTTGGTTAATCATTTGGGAAAAAATTAAATCTTTTCCTCATACCAGACACTAAAATAAATTCCAGATGGAATCAAGTATTTAAATGGGGGAAAATGTGCCAGACGAAAACAAATGAAAATATTTATATAATCCTGGGCTGGGGAGGCCTTTCGAAGCATAACACCAAAAGCAGGAACCTTAAAGGGAAAGACCAGGAGGGGCCGGGCGCGGTGGCCCACACCTGTAATCCCAGCACTGTGGGAGGCCGAGGTGGGCAGATCACCTGAGGTCAAGAGTTCAAGACCAGCCTGGCCTACATGGCAAAACCCCATCTCTACTGAAAATTCAAAAATTAGCTGGGCGTGGTGGTACGTGCCTGTAATCCCAGCACTTGGGAGGCTGAGACAGGAGAATCACTTGAACCCAGGAGGCAGAGGTTGCAGTGAGCTGAGATCATGCCATTGCATTTCAGCCTGGATGACAGAGCCAGACTCCATCTCAAAACAACAAAACAAAAAAGACTAGGAAGGCAATCACACCCTCAATAAAGGCCCCGCACAGTCTCGGTTTAAGGTGCATCCTGGCTGGATGTGGGTGCCCACCTGCTGCCTGGACCGGCTCCCACTGCCCAATGGCACGGAGCAGCCTCCTTTGTGAATAACTTACCCCAGTACAAAACTGTGACCCAGCAGTCCCACAACTGGGCATTTATCCAAAGGAAAGGGAGTCCGTGCATCCAAGAGACACCTGCACCCCATGGTCAGGCTGGTCTCAGACCCCTGACCTCAGGTGATCCGTCCGCCTCAGCCTCCCTAAGTGCTGGCATTACAGGCATGAGCCACCGCACCCGGCCTAGTTAACAAGAATTTGTTGTACATTTTCAGATAGCTAGAAGAGAGGATTTTGAATGTTTCCAACTCAAAGAAATAACAATTGCTGGAGGTGATTGATATGCTAATTGCCCTGATTCAAGCAGTACACAAGTGGCGAAATATCACTCTGTACCCCAGAGAGAGAGCTGTAACATGTCAGCTACAATACAAGGAAATACTACAGACAAAAGGGAAGCCAGTCCCTGGATGTACACAATGTCCCTTCCTAGGCTGCTCAGTAATCCTAAGTAAGTGTCTGTGAGAGGAAAAACCAGTCCCCCTCATTGTGGTGTACTTAATTCACACCATTTTAGGTTATATCGTAATGAATAGATGGTTCAGAAACCCTCACAACCCAGCGTGGTATCTCCAGGGCGATGGCCTCTCTCATGCCTGGCGCTGCCCTCGGCTCCCCTGTGATGTTCTAATGCACTGTGGCTTCAGTCATTGTCTACCAAGCTTGTCTGGGTGTCACGGCGTGCAGACACTTCTGGGACTTGGCGTTCCGCAGGATGCCCCAGTTGGCTGACTCGGGCCGCCGGCTTGCTAAAGTCACAATGCTTTGCATTAGGGGATGACTCATCAAGAATCCCAAACACCACTCAAAATAAGACCACGATCCAGGCCGTGCTGGGCATGCAGGCCTCAACTCACTTGACCCGACAGCCCCGGGATGTAGGTGCCACTCTTGTACCTATATCACAACTGGGGGCACTGAGGCACAGCGGGTGAGATTCAGCCCAGGCAGCTGTACCAGCCTTAACCTCTGTGCCCCGGGCATAAAGGAACTCCCCTTGCCCTTGGAGTAAATTCCTGAACCACCCACCTCGCTTTCAGGCCCCTCCCCTATATGGGGCCAAGCCCTTACTGCAGGTGGTCCCTCCCCGCCCCCCACGATGCCCCTAGACTTCCAGCCTCCGCTCAGCCTGCCTGACCTACCCACGCCTGACTGTCCAGTTGTGCCTCCTCATTCCCGGTCTAGGCAGCCCTGCTTCTCCTGGCTGGACGAGAGCATCCAGGTCTGGTCATTCTTGAGACAAACACCTCCTTCCATCGTGGGCTCCCTACAGGAAGTGGTGCTGGGCCCGTCCCATCCTGTAGGACCTCAGCCCGAATCAATGACACCACCAACCCCACAATGGTGTTTCACGGATGCTGGCCAGGATCCCCCTCCTCTTCTCCCTCCTCCCCTCCCTCCTCCCTCTCCCCACTCTCTCTCCCCTTCCCTCTTTCATCTCCCCTCCTCCCTCTTTCATTTTCCCCTCCTCCCTCTCCTCCCTCCTCCCTCCTTCATCTTCCCCCGCCTCCCTCTCCTCCCTCCTTCATCTTCCCCCTCCTCCCTCCCCCTTCCTCCCTCTCCTGCCTTCCCTCTCCCTCCTCATTCCCAAGCACTGAGCACCACAGGCCCTGAGCAAAGGCTCAAAGCAGGTGCGGGTTATCTTGAAAGCTACATTCAGGCTCATGTTTACCCCTCTGCGGATGCATGATCAAGGAAAGTACAGGTGATAGAAGGAAAAGAGGAAGATTTGGGAATGTGAGGCTCCAGTGTTCTTGGGCTTTACTCGCAAATGAAATGAGACAGCCGTTCCTGCCCTCTCCCCCGTTGGCTGCAGGCCTGCACAGAGATCGATGCCATCAGCATGGAGAAGAGGCGCATCCTGCAGCAGTGGGCCACCAGCCTGGTGGGCATGAAGCACCGTGACGAGGCGCACAGGGCAGTGCTGGAGGCACTCAGGTACTGCAGGGTCACAGGCGGTGAGGACACGCGGGAACCCCAGGGGTCCGTGGCAGGCCTGCCCCACGCGCCTCCTTCTGGGTCCACCGGATCTCTGGGACAGAGGGTGCACCTGGAGCCCCGGGTCCAGGCTTCCATCCGGGAAGCTCCCTCATTGTTTGATAAGATTTCAGTGATTCTTAAATCCTTTCCAACACTGCGGCACTGGGAGGAGCGAGGCTTTTCTGCTCAGATTTCCTGGCAGGATTAAGTAGAAACAGAGAGAGCAGGGTAAAGAGAAAGGTCTCTTTGGGAGGTAAAGGTGTCCCTTTGATTTGCAGTATCACCACCTGAGTGCGGAAACCCCATCCCGTCCGATTGTTCTGCCTGAGGGCTGCATTCCAACTGAAATTCTGTTTTAATCTCCAAAGCAAGGGGAGGAAGAGGCCTCCTCCAGGCATCCCGTCACTTCTGGGGATGGATGCGTGGCTCGGGGCGGGGCGTTGGAGACACAGGTGCTGCCTTCATTCCTAAAGCCACCCAGGGTGACCAGGTGTCGGGACCCGGAAGGCAAAAGCTGGGCACTGTGGTGGCACGTGGCTTACCCGCTGAGCTTTAACCTCACCTCCACCTTTCGTAGTTTCCACCCCTTGTGCCCAGCACAGAGCCTGGCATACAGCAAGCGCTCAAGAAAGGCTGGACCAAGGAATGAGGGACAGGCTGGTCCCACAGCACCCACAGCCAGGTGGCCCGCAGCAGTCACACAACCAGGAGATGCGTTTCCTTTTGGGTCCTATGACTAAAGAAACAAACTGTTTTGTTTTTAAAAGTTTTTAGACCAAAACATTTTCAAATGAATAATGCTGGATTAAACATACTCATTTCCAGCCGGGCATGGTGGCTCACACCTGTAATCCCAACACTTTGGGAGGCCGAGGCAGGTGGATCATGAGGCCAGGAGTTCAAGACCAGCCTGGCCAAGATAGTAAAACCCCGTCTCTACTAAAAATACAAAAATTAGCCAGGCGTGGTGCGGGCGCCTACAATCCCAGCTACTCGGGAGGCTGAGGTAGAGAATTGCTTGAATTTAAAAAAAATTACATAGCACCCTGGTGAGCATAGCATTCCTGGACCTGGTTATCTACAGCAACACCACAATAACAAAGGCACGCGAACACCCTCGATGCCCCGGGCAGAAAGCTTCCCCGTTGAAGTATCCCAGTGGAATGCCACATGGTGGCAAGGCGGGAATGAGCAGTGTTTGTATTTTGACTTGGGAAGTGCTCCAGGACACGCTGTAAAGTGGAAAAAGCAATGAGGTGCAGAACAGTGTGTGTGGTGTGCTCCCACAGAGCACGAGAGGGAAGGAAGACTCTGGACAAACATATACGCTTTCTTGCGATTGCACAGAAATTAGGGAGGGGATCCCAGAAAACCAGAAGCCTTTGCTTGTCGTGGGAGGGGGTGCTAGTGACTGCGGGCTGGGGAGGAGGAGACCTGATCGAATAGGATTTTTACAATGTTTTGCAACCAAAAGGAAGCCATGTCTCTGAGGGCAACGAGGACAGTTTGCAGAGAGGACGCTGGTTAGTCTGGGATGCAGGGGAGAGCTGGACCACAGGAACGTCTCGGAGGTGGCGCCTTCCCCTGGGGACACTGCGGAGTTCACAGGCCATGAGCCTTGGAGAGCCAGGCCAGGTGCTGGACGCTCAGAGAGAACCCAGCCTTCACTTTTCTCAAGGCCCGTGGCAGCTGAGCAGTGTAATTAACAGTCAGGTATTAAGTCCTAGCCTTGGGGCAGGAGGAAAAAGCCTCATCTGCCACAGAGGACTGTGGGCAGATGGCCAAGTCCTCTCGTCCTGGTGTACAGGCAACCCCGGTGACACAGGGAGAGGGGCCCTTGCCCGGCCACAGCTGGCTCCGGTTCCTCTACCTGCATCTTTACAGGGGAAACCAGGCTTCAACCAAACATCGCCTGTATCAAACCACAGTGTTCCCTTTGGCTTTATATTGTTGACTCATGAGAGTGAAGGAAATGACTTTTTTTTTTTTTTTTTTTTTGAGACATAGTCTTGCTCTGTCGCCCAGGCTGGAGTGCAGTGGCGTGATCTCGGCTCACTGCAAGCTCCGCCTCCCAGGTTCCCGCCATTCTCCTGCCTCAGCCTCCCGAGTAGCTGGGACTACAGGCGCCCGCCACCACACCCGGCTAATTTTTTGTATTTTTAGTAGAGACGGGGTTTCACCGTGTTAGCCAGGATGGTCTCGATCTCCTGACCTGGTGATCTGCCTGCCTCAGTCTCCCAAAGTGCTGGGATTACAGGCATGAGCCACCACGCCCGGCCTAATTTTTTTTATATTATCCATCAAGCCTGGAATGTCTGGGTCTAGTGGGTATTGCTAAGTAGGATTGTGACAGTCACGCCCCCAGCAGCAGTGTTTCAAAGTCCCCTGACAGTTCAGCGTGTTGTCACACTTTAGGACTGTGCCAATCGGATCGATGAAAAAAATAGATATCTTGTTTTATAAAACATGCATGCACAAAATGTTGAGTGAATATTTTAACCAAATATGTACATGCACAAACACTTCACGAATGAGAGAGCCCCTGACTTCACCTGCAACTCAGTGCACCAAGGCCCCGTGGAGGAGTGAGGCCCATCTTCTATTTATTTTATTTTTATTGTTTTTGCAATGGAGTCTCGCTCTGTCCCCCAGGCTGGAGTGCAGTGGTGCCATCTTGGCTCACTGCAGCCTCTGCCTCCTGGGTTCAAGCGATTCTCCTGCCTCAGCCTCTAGAGTAGCTGGGATTACAGGCATGCACCGCCACACCCAGCTAATTTTTGTATTTTTAGTAGAGAGGGGGTTTCGCCATGTTGGCCAGGCTGGTCTTGAACTCCTGACCTCAGGTAATCCACCCGCCTTGGCCTCCCAAAGTGCTGGGATTATAGGAGAGAACCACTGCGCCCAGCCAATCTTTTAAAAGTGCAGGCCGTGTAGGACATTGTGAGAAGTGTAAGCAGTAATTGCAGAGATTTGCTGTTTGCACCCAGATAGATTTGAAGCAGCAACTTGGAGACAGGTTTAATAGGTGAGGGCCATTATTACAGAAATAAATTATTGCATTGCTTAGGACTTCCAAGCTAGGAGTGCAGTGACTGAACTATACCTCAGATATTGACCTTGAGATGTTCAGATTTGTAGAGCATCTTAGAAAATGGTGACATTCCTGGCTGATGGTCAGCATGGTGCATACAAGGCCAGTACCCTGGTGGCTGTCTGGGCATGTCTGGAGCCTTCACCCTGTAAGATCCCTGTGGGGCAGGACCCCCTGGCCCAGAAGCTTGGTCTTGCCATCAAACCGAGAAGGCACACTTGTCCTGGAGTTAGTTTATGTGAATCGAGCTCACCAGAACCTGACGTGTAACTGAGAATAACAGCCCATCGTGTGCGGGATGGAATATAAAAACCAAGAATGCCGGGCGCGGATGCTCCGACGACTTAATCCCAAGCACTTTTGGATCGCCAAGGGCGGGTGGGATCACGAGGTCAGGAATCGAGGGGTGAGCATCCTGACTAACACGGTGAAAACCCCCGTCTACTAAAAATATAAAAAAATGTAGCCAGGCTCGG